CTGAAGGCATTCTCCTGTGACGAGGAGATGGAAGAGAACCTCAAAGTTGAGTAGCATTATTTTTCTTTATTTTTTGCATATGTATTTATGTTATGTTGTACGAGTCACACCGATCCAGTCGTCCATTTTCTTTCTATCATTTGTTTATCCATTTTGTGTTGTATGAGTAAGACTGAGTGTCTATTGATGATGTTATAAGTGATTTTGACTTGGTGGCCATTTGCCCTGCGAGTATTTTTTTATTTTCTTTGCTCATTCACAAGATGCCCAGCATGATCCGATTTTTCTTTCATATTGCAGTGAATGTAATATGTTTTAATTTTATGATCAATAAGAAAGCAGATGTGGGAGAAATCTGTCGATGGTTTTTAACCTTTTTTGGGTTGTGCATCCAAGTATCACTCGACAATGTTAACAGAATGGAAGAGGCCAACAAAAATCGACCAAAGGCTTTTAATCCATCTAAGGTTGCTAGTTGGTGTGTCGCTCACTTATCAACATGTGTGAATGGGGTTGGATGCAGCCCACCAAAGACTTTTAACCTATCCGGGATTGTGCATCGTAGTGATGCTCGATGACATTGACCCATACAAAAGAGATTGGATCGAATCGGCCTGAGATTGATCGTGCTCCCACTAAGATACAACTAAAGACTTAACCTATATGTGTTGTGTATCAGAACGAGGCTTGACGATATTGAACCGTAAAGAAGAGGTGGATGGAATCCCTTAGGATTGATCATGCTCTTATTAAGATACAACTAAAAATAAATATTTTTTGGGTCAATAGCTTGATTTGGTTCGTGAGTGACTTGCTAAATTGCTTGAATGAGCTAACTATATGGGAAAAATAAGTATCATATTTAAAAAATTGTAGGTTGGTCTGTCACCACAATGAATGTAGAAAACCTATGAAAGATATCCCTATAAGAAAACGATGAAGGAAGAACGACTACTCCAAGCCAAGGCAAGTTTGAGTTATCCATGTATAAGAAAATCAACCACTATGTTCATACTTTAGCTATAACCCACTATTCTCTCATACAGTGGCTAGGTTGAAAATAAAAGTTGCACCACAATTGAGTGGTTATCAGAGACATAAGTTTTATAAAGAGCCCACATTTTCAATTGTTGAAAAAGATGTAAAACTTGAAGATGAAATATCAAATGAACTAATAAAACTTCCTTTTCCTTGATACTCATCTTGTATAACTAATTTAGCAAAACATGGTCTAATACCACATACGTGGTCCAAAAAGCAATCCCACCATTTCAAGATTTTTTGGAAAAGCAAGCGTAAATGAATCAAATCAACGGCTGGTGTAGGATTCGTACCAGTGGATGATAAAAAATACTGAATGGATATCATTGACAACATCAAAAGCACGTTGAATCTGCATAATAGTTCCATGGTGGTAGACGTGTTTGTGTCGGTCAGTTATTCCTTCATACAAATCAACATACGGGAGCTTGAAACCCGCTAGGATGAGGTGTTGGAGGACTATCTTGGCTAAGGGAGAGGACTCTTGGAAGTTATGATGAGCAAAGAAACGATCCCTATCCCCCAGAGAAAACTTATCTCGAATCAAACATCTTGGTTCATCAAGGATCAATTTTTCAAGAGCGACACTAAGATGTGGCTAAGGCAAGTTTCCCATAAGCTCTGGAGGATTACCAGTCGATCAAGCTGTGTCGAACGAATTGGTACAACTTACAATATCGAGAAGGTCGTTGTCTTTAATTGACAGTGGAAGAGTTTCACTACAGGGAAGGAGTCAAGTACGAGTGTGCTCAAACGAGACATTTCTTATTGCTTGTTCTTGTACTGGTGATAAGTTCCATTTAACTATTCCGGTGTTGGTTGTCGAGCCTCACGTAGGAGCTAGAAAACCTTACGATGAGACTCCTTCATTCTACACACTCGACCCTCCAGAGAGGAAGACAAGGCATCTTCACCGGTAAGATAACATCTTCCAGGGTGGGAAGCAGTTGAGGCTTCATGTCTTTGGCTCCATGACTATCCCCTGGAATAATGAATGTTGGAGCGAGATGCTCAAGTTGGTACGAGTGTTGAGTTTGGTGGCCATTTAGTAAGTTTCATAGATCCTCCGATAATGAGATTGTCACTATCCCCTGGAATAATGAATGTTGGAGCGAGATGCTTAAGTTGGTACGAGTGTTGAGTTTAGTGGTCATTTAGCAAGTTTCATAGATCCTCTGATAATGAGATTGTCATTCCCACAAACGGTGTCAATCATATGTGCACTAGAAGATTCACAGCGGTAGAGTAATAAATTATTGTCTTGGCATTACATGAGAATCCAACACACGCTCAGATAATAAAAGTAGTAGGTAGAGACACCATAAGTTTTTACATGGAAAAATCGAAAAAAAAAACCTAGAGACACCATAAGTTTTTACATGGAAAAATCGAAGAAAAAAAAAACAGCGGGGCCTAGCCCTCAAACCAATTCACTATAAATTGGCGATTACAAACACAAATCCTCGTCTCACAAGTGGGAAATAACTGCATAGTTCTTCAAGGTACAATATTTCAGAAATGATTGCAGTCGAGAATAGTTGTTGGAACTCTAGTACACTGTCTTCGAGGTGTGTCGTTGCACGTAGTACTAGACAACGTATTGCTCCCTAAGGTGCTTCATTGTGTGGCAACGTACATTGGGATTCCACAACGCATGTTGTGATTCCACAAGAGACTTTGTCGTAAGGAGCAGGTGATGGTCGAGTGACAATAGACAGTGGTCAGCGGCTGCAAGAGCGAGCAACATTCACTGAACTTTCAGCGAAGAACTCGGGTGTTCAACTTCTCCTCCAAGCTGTGATCTTTCTCTTGTTCAAGGTCTAGCTCTCCTCTCAAGAGTGGAGTAAGGTTATTTATAGAGTTTAAGAGAGACATCCCTGCAAATAAAAAAAATACGGACTAATACATCAAACCGTTCAAAGAGATTTCCTCGATCAAACGACATTCTATGGACATTTGAGTGTCTTAATTACATCAGAATTGAGTGTTCTTTGGTTCGTTGGATTATTCTTGTCAAGATGCTCGATTTGACTAAAAGTTTGTTAGATTTGAAATCCATTTTACCTTTTAATTAGGCACTGATAATAGTTTGACCTGAACTTGATTTGACTCAGATTGGACCAATTTTAGTGCCATTGAGATCATCTCGTCGAGCGGGTCAATTTGACTACAAGTTTGTTGAAATCAGAGTTCTGGATGATTTTAAATTCGAGTTTGAATGTTTCATGATAAGAAAATGCCCCGAGATTCGTACTGATCACCTCGAGATTCATACCAAAAGATAAAACTTGTCGATGTCGTATCAGTTATAAAATGGACATTCTTATGTATTTAAGTGAAGTATAAGAACTCTTATGATTTAGTGGCTCTTTACTGTCTCGAAGATTTTTGAGGATTATTGTAAATGTTACACTGATATGACACTGCCATCCATACCGGTATTAGTAATTCATATTCCTAGGCCGAGTAGTGACAACTATAGCTTTACCCAATTGACATTTTGAGCATTCTTTCAATTCTCACTAGAATTAAGTTATGTAAAGCTTCATTTATTCCAAATTGAATTACCTACAACTTTTGTGTATGGAATTTTATTGATTCAATTGCAGAACTCTCCATCCCACTAAGATCAAAAACTCTACGGAAGGAGTTCTCAGAACAAATCAAAAGGAGGAGAAAACACGAAGCGACTAGCTTCCTCGCATCTAGAATTAGTTTATTTATTCTTCTTGCTTTAATTTATAGTGTTGAATTCTAGTTTCTGGGTTGTAAGTATATGCCCATTCACCTCTAATTTATCTCTTCCATATTTACAAACTTCTAACTTGCAAACTCTAATTGGTGGGGAGCTTTGTGTAAATAATAAGATTCCTACATGGAAATCAATTCCATTGAAGGAAATCTGGCATTGCAATCCAACAATCCTGGGTGGGCAGGTTTCCCATCACAAAATTGCAACACTTTCCTGCTTGACAACTAAATCCTAGTTGAACAACTCAAGCTCAAGGTCATTTTGTGATCCACTTAAACTTGAACAGTTTTCAGTGCTAGCCCAAGTACGTGAAACTAGATCACATGAGAGTTCGCCATGCCCACTTATTATCAACTTTCACGGAACTAATATGAGACCAAATATATATAAAAGCCATTAAAGCAACATGCCAGCACGACTTTTTCCCCTTGGTACCAAATGATGCCTCTTTACCATGCAATAGCTTTATTACTGTTGGGCACAACTGAAACAGCACCATTTTTTTTTCAATCTGTACGCCCAAAAATCAATTTTGACCAGGATCGTGGGTCTAAACCATAAAAACAATTTATTTATGGCGAGAGGATAAGAGAAAGTACACCAGCCCCTCTTCAAACAATACATTGGCGGGATCCTCAAGAAGTGGTTATGCTGGATTGCAAAAGACATTTGGCCTTTAAAAAAATAAAATAAAATAAAATTTATGGACAAAAAAAATGTTTTATAATCCTTCCAACGAAAGTTTAATTTAAACGTAAATATTTTTCTCCATCGACAATTCTCATATTAGGCGGAATATACTTTCCATAAATAAACTAACAAATATTATTATAATTTTTTTAGTCTAGATCACCTTTAAATACAACTGTGCAGCCGTGAAGTTAACAGGGAATATGATCAAAAAGTAAGGATGATTAACTAATTTTATTCTATATTTGGATGTTAGGCAATAAGATAACTCCCGTGTACAACAAAGCCAAACATGCCATTACGTTTCACAGGATTCAGCTAAGTTCTTTGTATGTTAGACTTTAACATGATAACATCTTAGCATTAAGAACTTCAAAGTTCAACGCGCATAATGCTAAGTTTGTTATAGCTGAGTGACAATTTCAGTTCCTTGGCAAAAGCATGCATGCAGAAGAACATCAAATAAATTTTTAAAAGAGAGCACATGTATTTTAAAATGTAAAAATCTCCCAGTCAAAAGCGAATCAAAAGTAACTTGCGTAAAACCACCGGCATGCAAAAACCACAGTTGCATATATCTGCTTTCAAAAGTTTATTTGCGTATGCAAACTGCGGACCATGTACTTACTTGCAGGATCTTGCATAGAGTCCTCAACCATAGGAGCCGACCTGATGCCCCAGTCCACCAGAGAGTAAGCCTCCGGTGCCCCAGTCACCCCCTTCTTCCTGCACGTCTCCTTCCTTCCCTGGTTCAGATCGATCTTCTTAGTGCCCGCCTCCTCCGGTACTTCCAAAATCACCTTCGACGCCACCGCCTGCTGCCTACCACCATGCCCCATTAACCCGGTCTTCTTCGGCTGCGCCGTCCCACCTTTCCCTTGTCTACTCGACGTCGGGCTAGCGATCCACTTTTGCGCGTCGTCCCACTTAGAAGGCGCCGGCTTCGAGAACGGCGGCATTAACACCGACCGATGATGCTGAGCACGCTCCGCCCGCTGGAACTCGAATCCGGACAACACGCTGTCCGCATCCAGCGAATCCTCCTCCTGCGCTGGAACCCTAGAACTCAGGCTCACTATTTCCACATCCTTGTAGTTATCGGCTGTGCTCGTACCTTGCAAAATCGAACCTCAGCGCCACAGTTCAGGCAATAGAGCTCACACGAAACAAATAAATAAAGAGACATTTAGATCTCACGTCGGTCCTCTGCCTCTCCGAGGTCAGATGTTAAAGAAAACCTCGCCTCCAGCTCCTCTTTCTCATCCTGCCTCCTCTTCTCCACTCCAAGAAGCATAGCCCTGAGCTTACCCGGAGAAAACCCTCCACCCTGCAGCAAGAAACAGGACGAGCTCGTCAGCATCGAGGAAAAAGTGCAATCCGACAAAAAATGGCAGGAAACCAAACGTAAAACGTGAACCTCTCAGATCAGGGATTGTGCTCTGTGATAGCATTGAGAGAAGAGAAAGCTGAGATCGGAGGTGTGGGCAAGAAACAAAGGACGAGAGAACATTTACCGTGAGTGAGGGTTTCTCAATCCGTTCGTAATCCATTGGGAAATGGGAGCTTTACGAACTCCGCAAGCGATGGAGAGGACGAAGGGCGGCCGGAGTTGGGAGCTGCTCCACCGTCGTAGGTGTGTGACGAGAGCAGAATAATCACTCCAGAATTACAAGACGTTCGAGTCAAAACTACAGTCTGACCGTCGGACTGGTGTTATATATAGGAACACTTCCTCATATCACACCCCCGTTTAGGCGTGAAATTATACTGGATTTACAGAAATTACAGGGTAAGAGTATCGCTCTTTTAAATAAGGCCGTAATAAGAATTTGCACATTCTTCCGGTAGGACCATTTTGCCCTACAAGGAGAGACTAGTGGGGCCAGACGCATGTGCGCATCATAATTGAAGTCATTTTTTTATCATTTCGGTGAATCGGCCGTTAATGAAGTTTGTTTGATTGAATTTAAGGTTTCCGTTTTTTTGCTTTTAAGTTGTTGAAGTTAGAATATTGTGGTGAATGTATAAAATGTATGAATATAGTATTAATATATTTTAAATTCCATTTATTTCAATTACTCGGGGGTGTGTTTGGGCCGGCGGTGCTTAATATTTTAACGCCTCGTAGTTTTTTTGTCTATTACATTTTTGCTTAATTTTTTGCTTAATGTTTTAACGCCTCTTAATCTATCACTATTACATTTTGAATTTAAGGTGTCGCATCGTAGTTTTTTTGTTACGTAAAATTGTGTTTTGTTTGTATTTTCAAAAAACTTTATTTAAAAGTTGTATTTTGTCACCATATATGACAATTTGTGTTAGCTGCTAGAAAGTTGTGATTTAACTCTTAAAATATATATTTTTTTTGTAATGGTTATCGCAACTTTTTGAATAATAGGTTCTTATTCAATAACTTCACAGCTGCTTCTTCAAATTTTTGCAACTGTCGAAATTGGTGCTTAATTTATGAATTTGAATGTAATAGTGATAGATTTTAGAACTGTCTTGCATAGATATAAATACGTGAGATTTGCATACATAGCAACTGTCGAAATTGGTGCTTAATTTATGAATTTGAAATGTAATAGTGATAGATTTTAGAATTGTCTTGCATAGAAATAAAGAAGTGAGATTTACATACGTAGAAATCAAATTTATTTATGAAAGACAGCAAAGAAGAGAAGCAACAATTTTTAATATAAATTACACATTCATAAAAAAAGTTCTCAAATAAAAATAGTGTGCGGCGATGTTTCAATATTTCTAATACTTTATTTATGAAAATAAATTATGATGTTATCACTTATAACAATGGATCTAATAAAATATAAATTGATTCATTTCTTATGAAAAAAAAAATTATCTTCAAGGTTGTAAGGATAATAGGGTGATCACAAGTAAACATTTATGTACCATATCAATTATTGGTTTTGGATTTTAAGATTAAATGTTAGAAGAATAACATATTATTATAAAGTTAGATAGGGACACTTAAAAAGATAAACAAATTTATTCATACGAGAAAACTGCAAGGTATTAATATTTGAGATGTTTATAAATAAGCAAATAATATGTGGGAAAAGTAATTAGTATTATTAAGTAAGTTACAAAAGATGTGCTTAGAAAATTTTTAAAAAATAAACTCATATGAACACAAATAGTTGGTGGTATAATAAAAATGTGCAGGAAAATATAAAAATAATAAGTTTTATTATAGATTGGTATAGATTTAAAAGCTTAAAGAATTGAAATAAATATATATATGGCGGCCATTAGGAGTTTAAGAGAATAGTTTTTCTATTCTAAAATTTCTATTTTTAGTGATCACACACACATACACAAGCAAAGAGATAAGAAAAGAAAAGATTTAGTCCAAGCAAAGTATATTAAGGATGAAAATTAAAGAAGTATCTTAGTTGAAGATATTAAACATAGGTGAGTGAAATATTTTGATAAACATTTCAATAGAGAATATGAAAAAATAATCAATTGTGATGATCTTAATGTTTTAAATAATAACAAAGTTTTTTATTTCTTCCATTGCATTAATAAAATTAAAGTTGAGGAAAAATTAAAAAAATAAAAAATAAAGTGTGCAAAAGCAGCAAGACGTTATGATATTATAATAATAATAGTGTAAAAATATTTAGAAGATTCGAGAAATTTCTCGATTTACTAAACTTCCATTGCATTAATAAAATTAAAGTTGAGGAAAAGTTTTAAAAATAAAAAATAAAGTGTGCAAAAGCAGTAAGACATTATGATATTATAATAATAATAATGTAAAAATATTTAGAAGATCTGAGAAATTTCTCGATTTACTAATTTTTTTAATATTATTTTAATAACTAAAAAGATATTTGATGATGGTGAATTAGTCAATTAATTCATGTTTAAAGGGGATGCAGGGGAGTGTGCAAATTTTAGAATAATTAAATTATTGTCATGCATTAAAGTTATAGAAGAGAGTAATTGAGCATAGTTTACAGCGCGAAACAAAATTTTATGAAAATCACTTTGAATTCATGTCACAGAAGTCTGCTATGAATGATATATATTTATTGAGAGATCGATGGAATATTACAACGAGAGCTAGGAAAATTGGCATGTTATTTTTGTTAACATAGAAAAAACTTATGACAGGGCTCCGAGAAAAGTAAGGAGTTTTGGAAAAAAGTGTTGATATTGCTTGTATTTAAGTCATTAAATATATATATACTAGAGCAACTACTTATGTTCAAACAAAAGAGATTGGCCAAATATTTTGATATTTTAGATGGATTACATTAATGATCAACTTCAAGCTCATCTTTTTTTTGTTTTAAGTATGGATGTTCTTACTGGACAGTTATAGGAGGACATAGCATAGCGTATGTTTTTCATTAATGATACCCTTCTTGTTGATGAGACTAAAGAGGTTCAAGAAAAACTTGAATTATAGAAATCAAACTTAGAGTATAAAGGCTCTCATTTGATTATCTAAAATTGCATACATTGATTATAATTTTATCAGTAAGATATCTAGTGGCAGGGATGTAATTATCAATGACAATGTAATTATCAATGACAAGCCATTCGAAGGAGTGAACATTTTAGATATCTCAGATCTCTTGTTCAAAGTGATGGATTATGATGTTATTAAAGTTAGATGATTAAAGTAGAGGACTGCATCGAGCCTATTGTGTGAGAGAAAAGTGCCTTTATACGATAGTTGTGAGACTTTAAATTCTTTATGCCATAGAATGTTGGCTTGTGAAAGGGAAACATATAATTAGCTTTAGACTTGTTATAATTAGAATTCTTAGTTTGATGAGTGTCTTTACACTTAGAGACAAAAATATGAAAATAAGATATATGTGAATGGGTTGGAATAGCTCTAGTAGCAGACAATATCAGAGAGTGTCATATTAGATAGTTTGTTCACATTAAGTGTAAACCATCTGATGAGCCATCAGGAGAGTTGATGTTTTAGATTTGACTTATGTTAAGAAATGTAGAGGTAGAATTAAAAAAAACTTATGCTTGTTGTATAAAAAATGATCTTAATTTATTAGAATTAAATGAAAGCATGACACTCAATAGGACACAATGAAGAAAAAAGATTCATGTTGCCTGTCACACTTAATGGGACAAATGGCTTGTTGTTGTTGCTCCTGCTATTGGGGAATAAAGTTTCTTAAATCAATCAACGACTTATTGCATTCACTAAGGACAAGTTATGGTGGAATGCGTAGAGGTTACGAACAAAGGTGAGGTATAGGTTATAGGTGGAATGCGTAGAGGTTACGAACAAAGGTGGGAGGTATAGGTTATGGTGGAATGCGTAGAGGTATATTGATGTGCATAAGTCAAAAGTTGAGGTATAGGTTATGGTGGAATGCGTAGAGGTTACGAACAAAGGTGGGAGTGTGTGGGGTCATGAACAACTATATTGTCATGCTAATTTCATGAAATATTACCAGAAAAATGAGAAGTCAAGCGGAAAAAAAAAAGAAATTCGAGTAAGGTTGCATTGGGTCACTTCCAATACATGGAGGTTCATAAGTTGTATTTATAATTTGCCAATAAAAAAATAAAAAATATAAAAAATCTTATTGGTTGAGTTTCAAGATTAACAACAACATTTTAAATTTAATATACCTTAAAACTCCAATATTTTAATATCATATTCAAAATAATCCTAACTAAATAACCATACAACCCACAAAATTTCTTATTTAGCCTTCTGCCATGCTCATTATTAGCAATGTTCACGAAACCCACTATTTATTAGAAGTTAGTAAGTGGCACTTTGTGCTGCAAAAAAAATTAATCGTTCGCGAACAACTCGATAAATAGTTTGTGTTAGATAAGTTCGTTAAGCAAACAAACATAACACAAACAGCCCTTACAAGCTCTATTTATAAATGGGTCGAACACAGACAAAAATTTGTTCATTCTTGTTGAACTCATTTTGGCTCGAAAAATTTATATAATAAAATAATAAATATTATTTATGTCCTTTTTACATATATTTGAAAAATACTATATTTATGATTTTTTAATATTTATTTGGGTCATTTAGTTATAAAATATATAAGTTATGAGCGGAGAGTGACGAGGACCTTGCATTCCTTAATCTCATGCATTCTTTAGTCTCACATTGAAGATGACTTGAGATTTGTTGCGAGAAAAAACTTTTTAAAATTAAACAAATCAATAAATTTTAATGCAAAATTAACAAGACAGGTGTAAAATATTTAATTGTGTTCAATAATAAAAATGATTTTTCTTACTTTAATAATAACAGTTTGATCAATCATATTATCTAATCCTCATGCGGCAAGTGAATCAAATTAGAGTCGAATACGAGCTTAATTTGAACAAATGAGTTCGAATTTCGCCGAATATAAGTAAATTCTTCCATCTCAAAAATAAATAAATAAATAAATTGATTCAAACAAAAATAAGGTTTTGATTGGTCAAAGTTGGGCCTGTTTACAGCCCACTTGGTACAAAAATAAGCTTTTGGGCTCGTTTACATCCCACTGATAGTCAAATCAATGAAATGCCACCTCAGCGCGTGATCATAAAGTAAGCTACAAACAGCGGACAGCCATGCTAACGATTTAAAATAAATTTCGCGGTCGTGCCAATCAAATTAATAACGTTGCCCAGGTGGAATCTAATAAATATAATCCCCTCAAATTAATATATTAATTACAGTTAAAAAGAAAATCTATTTTCATTTGAGATTTTTTATGCGTCGATAGTAAACTTTAAAAGAAGAATTCGATTTTCAAACTGTTACAGTCGATTAATTATCTTAATCATAATTAAAAGGATAATTAGCTGATTGTTTAACTTCACAGTCTCCATTTCATTTCCACAGATCGAAACCCTCGTCGAAGCGTTCTGCTACATCTGCCCTCGCTCATCGGCCCCTTCGAGATCAAGATCCGCGATCCAGCAGGCTGGTGAGCTCTCTCTTTCCCTCGATTCGTCATCCTTCCTCCCTCCCCTTTACGTTTCTTTATTTCTTCTTCTTTACTCGATTTTAAGTGGATCTGGGTTTGCTTCAAGGTAATGGAGGAGCCGGGAGGGGATGCGCCGACGGAGGAGGGGGAGAACACGAAGGTGTCGGCGGTGCTTAAGCAAAACCAACGAAGGGGGATTATTTCGCGCATATGGAGAGGGATTATTGGAGTTAAGAACGAAGACTACGAGAAGAAACTGCAGCACTTGTCCAAGGAGGAGGCGGCAGTCGATGCTAAGATGAAGAGGAGAGCTCAGTCGTCGAGAAGGAGGGCTAGAAACCTCATCATGCTGTCCGTGACTTTTGAGGTGTGTTCCTAGTGCTTAGTGCTGGCAGTTTCTTATTTGCATACTGTGGGTTTTGAGATGAATTTGAGTGAAGGGTTTGATTTGCATGGTATGCATCAACTGGAGAATGTTATTACTGTTGATGAAAGGTTGCCTTGTCTCCCTCCATCTCAAGAATAACCGGCTTTGTTCAGTCACCATTCCGTTCTATAGTTCTCTCCTGGTTTTGGGTTGTTGTAGTTTGTTGCAACTACTTATTACCAGCTAATATAGACTAAGTTGTTTCAAGAAGGGCATGATAGTAAAAGATTTTTGAAAATAATAAAAAAGAATTAATTTGTAGTAACAACAAAAAGACACCTTGGTTATGCGTTTTTGTTTTTTATTTTAATTATCCTTGTGATTTTTTATAGCCTTACAAGATTATTTGATGCTTTATTTACTGAATATATGAGTGCTTGATTGAGTTTTTTAACGATTTCCAATAAGCTTGTTTAAGTCATGCTTAAAGTTATGATATTGCATCTTGAAATAAACTCAGCTGTCGCACCGTTTTGTATACACTCTTCAAAGTATATTGCTATATACTGTATGATATTGTCTTTCTTATATCCATCTCCAACCCTGTAAGAATAAATTATAGGATTATAGTTCACATGCATTATGCAGAATGAAATGAAAATTGCTTTTTGGAGATTGTAGTTATTGTCACTAGAGAAAAACCTAGCGTAGGAGTCAACTCTTTGCCGCAAAAATTAAGATGGGCATGACAAAAAGATGGCATTGAATGTTGGTGGAGTTGTAAGTCAAAGTGTGGGATACTCCAAGGACCCATGAAATAGAATAGCGTGTATCCAACTTTTGATGCAAAAAAGAGAGTTATAGCTTTTGTATGAAATAACACTTTTAAAACTGTCTAGAATGGAATATTCCAAAATGCTAAGATTATGCATAGCTTTTTAAACAAAATTTAGCATCAACTAATTCAAATATGAATTTTATATCAGAAAGATAGTGCCAATCATGCATGCCTCCCTCTTATCATTATCTTCGATAAATAAGTAGATAAATTGGTAGAAAATAGTGAATTATTTGTATTGGAAATTCATTTTGAATGAAAGCAAGATATTAAAAGAGTTAAAATTGGGCTTCCAATGGTTGATTATTGTAGATATTTCTTAAATGTTTTTTCCCTCTGAAAACCAAACTTCATTTGTCTATATGAATATGGCCTCTTGATTTTGACATCTTCTCATTTGTAGACTCATTGTAAAATAAGGTTTTCTTTTCTTTGAAAAATATTAGGGCTGCAAAAGAACCAAGCTGATTTGAGCTGATGTGTTTTAGAGCTCGAACTTGCTTATTGAAAGCCTGTTCAAACACAACTCAAGCTTGATTTGAGCTTTTAGGAATGTGTTTGAGCTCATGCTCGTTTGTTAGAACCCTATTTGAGCTTGGTTTCTATAGAGATTATTGTACTTATTAACGAGCAACTCATTTAATAAATAATCAAGATTTAACCGAGCTCTATACTTGAAGTTTGTTTGGAAGAATAAATGAGTCGCATCAAATAAGGTTTGTTAAGCATAAAAAATAAACATTTAAACAACACTATACATTAATGAGTTTTAATCGAATCATAATCGAGCCGCACTTGAGTTTTTTAACGAGTTTATTCACTAGCTTTAAACGTGTTGTTCATGAATATAAATGAATCAGACAAAAAGTTATTCAAACTTACTCATTTAGAACCGTGTATTTATAAAAGTGTTATGCTTGTTCAAATAGCTAATGAAATGATTATAAATGAGCTCTAATCTAGCCAATCCACAAGTAGCTCGTCGAATGCTTGGTTCATTTGCAGCCACCAAAATAAAAAGAGAATCTTTTTGTGGGTTTTCTCTCTAGTTCTTTCTTGGGCATCCGCTCCATACAATTTCAAGAAAATGGAGAGAGAAAATATGATTCTTTGGTTAATCCTCATTTGTGAGTAAAGTGCATTATGGTTATGGTTCACAATTATTTTTATTGTGCAACCAATTGTCATTTTAAGTAAATATGTTTATCAATTATATGCCTTAAATTTTTGTTGAACATTTGTAGTTGTTCAGACCATTGCATTATGCAATCCGAACTGATTAAATTAACTTTCTATGATCATTCATGTGTGGATTTGAGAAACTTTCTTAGATAGAAAATCTCTAATTTTCTCATTAAACAAAGAACAAATATATACAACTCAGACTAGACCTAATACAATTTGAGAGAAATTCAAGTCATGTTGATAAGAAAGAAAGAAATAAAAAAAATGCAATAATGGAGAATAATTTCCCTCCCTCAAATGTAGCAGCGACCCATGGTTTCTTAAAATGTGGGTGAGCCCCTATGGTTCGCGGTTATATGTATATCGCCCCTATGGTTCGCGGTTATATGTATATCAACACCTCCCTCAAGTTGCTTTGTATGTATCATACATCTCAAAGTTGTTGAGATCACTAAAATGGTGCTGAGAAAGAGCCTTGGTAAGAATGTCAACAGTTGATGTTGAGTTGGGATATAGCTTGGTTGGATAACCCATCCATTGACCTTCTTAGAGATGAAGTGTCTGTTAATCTCTATATGCTCGGTTCTATCACGATGTATCAAATATTTGAAATACGGTTGAGTGATTGACAATTACTGAAACTCTTCATTGTGTTTTTATTCTCTGTGTAGTTCCACCAGTAATTTATTTAGCAACATCCCTACCCAAATTCCTAGGGTCAGGACACAATACTCAGATTTTGTACTACTTATTGCCACTACAGTTTGTTTTTTATTTCTTCTAGTAACCAGGTTACCCCATACAAATGAATAATAACCTGTGGTAAATCTTTTATCAATTAGTTCTCCAGCTCTGTTAGCATCCTTTAGATATAAATGTTGCGGTTCTCAGTTTTCTTGATTATCAATCAACGTCCTTGAGTCATTTTTGTGTACCTCGGTATTCGAAAGACCGCTTCTAAATAATCTTTATATGGAGTGTTCTTATGTTTACTCACTACATCCATAAAAGAAAGCAATGTCTGGCCTTTTATGTGGCAAATAAATAAGTTTTTTCTTAAATCTTTGATACTTTCCTTTTTCAACTTGGATGCTATCCTCTCCTTTGATGCCCGCCAATCAGTATCCATAGGAGTATTTGTTGATTTGTACCCCAATATTCTTGTTTCCTTTAATAATTCCAACATAAATTTTCTTTGGGATATGACAATGCCTTCTTTGGATCTAGTTGCTTCCATTATTAGGAAATACCTTAAAATTTTAAAACATTTGATCCCAAACTCAGAAGTCATTATTCCTTTGATTGTTTCAAGTTTCCTTACATTATTTTCTGTAAGAATATTGTCATTTATATATAGACTAATGATGACTATCATTTCTTCTTGATTTGATTTTATAAACTAAATATGATCAACCTGACATTTATAGCACTCATTGGCAATATAGTCTTAGCAAACCTTTCGAACCATACTCTTGGAGATGTTTCAACCCATACAATGATTTCTTTAGTTTACAAACTAGTTGATTATTTGTGTTGTTCTTTAATTATGGAGGTATCTCCATATACACTTATTTTTCAAGACTCATTAGGAAATGCATTTTTGATGTATAGCTAACGTAAAAGCTAGTCCTAGTTGACAACCAATGACATTAATACTCTTACTATGTTGAGTTTCGCCACTGGTGCAAATGTTTTTTGGTAGTCACTTCCATAGGATTGAGCCACTCATTTTACTACAAGTCTAGTCTTGAACATTTTTATTCTCTCATTTGTTTTGTATTTAACACTGAATACCCATTTGCACCGTACAGTTGTTTTTCAAGCGACAGAGTTGTTGTGATTCAGATACTATACTTTTCAAGCGCAATAATATCCTCTTACACATCCTTTTTCAAAGCAGGAATAGATAAGACATTTTGGAATAAATCTTGAACGTATACATTATTCAATTTTTGAACAAAAGATTTGTAAGAGGATGATAATTTTTCATAGATTACAAATTTTTCTATTGGGTGATTTGTGCATGCATATGCCCTTCTTCTTCTTGGCTCTCATTATATCTTTGCGTGAATACTAAGAGTGCGTGGAGTTTGGTCCCATTGATTTGCATATTGTCCCTTACATGCTTATTGAGTTTTTTTTTGTAGTGTACACACAGAGTTCTCGGTTTTTGGTGGGAGCTATTGGAGAATTTAATGGAATGGTAGGTTCATTTCTGATTGATTCGTGATAGTGGGGACAAGAGTGGGTTCATTAGGGATATAAAGGAGGTGAGCTTGAGGTTTTGAATGATACCTCATATTTGATATTCTCGAGCTCTTTCCAAGAATGGCAGATTTAAGGTAATATGATTGGTTTTTAAAAAGGGTCACATCCATGAAGATGTAAAATTTTTGTGTTTCTGGAGAATAATATTTATATCCTTTTTTGTTTGAAGAGTAGCCCACAAATATGCACTTGATTGACCTGAGATTGAGTTTGGCATGATGCGGTTGATATAGATGAACAAAGGAGATGCCACCAAAAATTTTTAGTGGTAGGTTAGAGGTGAAAGATTGGATATGGGGGTAGGATTGTATAAGGGTCTTCGTTAAAATTTAACAATCTGTTTGACATCCTATTTATGAGATATGTAGCTGTGACAATTGCAACTCTCAAAAATGTTTAGGCACATTGTTAGTGAATAGAATTGAACATGTTACCTCGAGGAGATGTGTATTTTTTCTCTCAGCCACATCATTTTATTGGGGTGTGTTAACAAGAGCTTATATGAATGATATTTTTTTATAGATAATAGCCGAGAGCAGAGTTAGTCTTTTGCATTATCGGTTTTGAGAATCTGAATTTTGTTTTGAAATTAGGCGGCAACTCTCAAAAATGTTTAGGCACATTGTTAGTGAATAGAATTGAACATGTTACCTCGAGGAGATGTGTATTTTTTCTCTCAGCCACATCATTTTATTGGGGTGTGTTAACAAGAGCTTATATGAATGATATATTTTTATAGATAATAGCTGAGAGCAGAGTTAGTCTTTTGCATTATCAGTTTTGAGAATCTGAATTTTGTTTTGAAATTAGGCGAGAAACATGTTGCGAAAGGTTTCAAATATTTTTGCAATTTTAGATTTTTTCTTAATAAGAAAGGTTTAAATAAAGGTGACACACCACCTAGCCTCATTTGGAATTTTTTATTTTTGTGGGCCCCTGGATATCAGTATTAATTGTGGAAAAGGGATGTGTTAGTTTGTATTTCAGGCTTGGGTACACTTGTCGAGTATATTTAGCAAGGTGATAAGTTTCACACTGATAAAGACTAGATTTTTTGTGATAAGCAAATGAGGATACAATTTTTCAATGTAATAGAAATTTGGATGTTCAAGGCAAAAATACCATAACATTACTCTCATGAGAAACAAACTCAAATACATGACATTGCTCAAAGAATTGTGAATCGTGGGGTGATTCTTTTGAATTAGAGGTCTTGGTGAGCAAATAAAGTTCATATACATATCAACGCTGTCAATCATCTTTCTTGAGTCCACCTGAAATTCACACAAATTAGGATAAAATTTAGTAACACAATTCGTGTCATGAGTAATTTTATTAATAGACAGTAAATTGTAATTAAGTTTGGGAACATAAAGCGCAGATTGAAGAATATTATCCTTTGTGAGATTCACAAATCCAGTTCCTTCCGCGTATGAGAGGGAACCATCTGCTGTTTTAGCCGTAGCATGATGTTTGCAAAAATGGAAGGATTGGAAAGAAGTGATATCACCTGTCATGTGATTAGATGCTTTAGAATCCACTATCCAAAACTTATTCTTCCCATTGAGTGCAACAATAGCAAATAAAGACTACTTTGATGTGCTAGAAGGCTAGTGGAATGCTCAAACTATTGTCCCAGAAGCCTTTGGAGAGCTTCAAGTTGTTCTTTGCTGAATTGACTATGTTCAAGAGGATTATCTTCCTTGGATGCTGTGTTTGTTTGATTTTTCCCATCACCTTTGACTTTATTGGGCCTTCAATCTGCAGACTTCCCATAAATCTTTTCACGCATCTCTTTCATATGACAAAGTTTCTTATAATGTTCACACCACAGTCTGTTCTTCTTTGCTTTACTGTCTTGAGATGATTTGTGAGTATATAAATTTGAGTTATCAATATTTGATGTGGTGGGATTATCTGTTTTCATGAGTTTTTTGCCGCTATCTTCCTTTCATAATTCAACAAAAACATCATGAATTGAGGGAAGATGTTTGGTTTCCATGATTCTTCCTCTGACTTCATCTAGTTTTTTGTTGAGTCCTAGAAAGAACTTGATGATTCTCTTTTGTTCAACAATGATTTTGTAAAGAGCAGTCTTGTGAGCACCTCGATGTGTATGTTTCATGCACATATAGTTGAAGTTAATATTTGGAAAGAATGTTAAAGCATTGAGTAACTTTCAACTCACCTTGCTACATGTCATGTAATCTAGTTTCAATGTCAAACAACTCAAAGGTGTTGTCAATGCTTGAATAGGTTTTCCTTGCGACATCAAAATTATTTTGTCATTTTGAACAAGAGGAAATTATCTCTAATTTCATGGTCATGGAATTGATAGCTATGACATCATCATATAAATTTCAATCTTTTATGTTCGGTGTTTAGTATTAGTAAATTTTAGTGTAGGATTTTCGTTGATCATTTTTATCTTTATCATAGATATTTATGAACACATATCGAGACCACTGGAGAAAATTATTGTCATGTAGTTTGTGATTGGTGATGCAAAAAGAGAATTTAGATGTTGTAGAACCAAACATCCTTGGTTCAACCTCAGCCATAACGTTTGAAAAGGAAGAAACAACTTTCTTGATGTATTTGATCATCATGAAGATTTTCACTATAAGGAGAGATTGTTTGTCGTTGACATAGAATTTGCATTGGAAAGAGAAACTGTTTGTCGCCCGCACAAGATTACACCAGAGAGAAACTGTATGTTATCGACACAGGATTCCTATTTGAGAAAGAAAGCAAACTCCGCGGTGCTTGGAATTTCTAATAGAGAGAAAATTCTTGGGATTCCAAATTCCCTCCGACAGAGAAGGGAGCAAGTTTGAGTCGCAGGACAGAATGCAGTCGCTGTCATTGTTGCTCAGACGAAGATTTTCTCTGCTTGAGAAGATTCTGGTTATCTGCGAGGACAAAGCAGAGGAGAATCTGGTCTGGGGGTGATTATGGCAGCTTGGAAAGGAGATTCCAGCCTGGAATGTTCTGAGAGGACGTTGCTGCTGCTGCCTAGGTGAGTCCAACTGCAAGAACGGAGTTTTGCAAGCTGCCTGAAGGAATTCCGACAGTTGCAGGGAAGATTTTGGCTGCTCGACGATCCAATCCGGGCTCAGAATTAAATAATGCAGGAACAGACGGTCTAACGATGAATTTAAATTTTCTATTATTTTATTAATTTCACTAACAGTTTAATATCAATACGTTATTTGAAAGTGTCATTAAAGGAAACAATTAAATTGACCAAATAAAAAGTTACCTTGCAGTTTGTTATCTTCACTTTCTATAAACATTATCTCTTCTCGTATTCATGTATTCATCTTATTTAAAAGCTTAAGCCTCATCAAATATTAAAACAATCTGAGTTATCTAAGATAATCTACTGTAGCAATCTGCAGATTATGATGGCAATTTTAGAACTATGCAGCTGAGCCTTGGATATTTTGGAAATGACAGCACTTTCAATGTTACTGCTGTTGATAATGATGACACTTTTAAAACTATACCGCCCAGTTCTGGAAGTTTATAAATGGTCATATGGGATAGTTGCATTTGTATGCAGGATTTTTTAATATAACTGCCGTCGTTACTGTCAAATTAGTTACAGTTGTACCAATTTTCTGTTTTAATTTGTGCTAGAAGTATGGCATGTAAGCGGAGCTAAATTATCCAAAATTTATATATTTCTTGTGGTTTATTTTTTGAGATATTAAGGGAGTTTGCGCTTGCATTTGTTGATATCTTTTTATTGGGTTTTTTTATTTACATGTTACTCTTCGCACCTTTCAGTGGACTTGACATACTTGTTTTCATCTGTGATTATTTTCTTTTTAACTGACAGCCACTTTTTTTTTTTTTTTGAAAGAAAATAGTTTATCATTAATTATTGAAACTTGCTTCTTTGCCTAGGTTGTCGCAGTTTCTATTGCTGTTATAGCGATAAAGTCGCTGGATTTAACTGGTCCTATGAAGTTTTTTCGAACTTTGCCCGCAATTCTTCTTCCAGGCTTGTCTTATGTTGTCTACTCTTTGCTTGAAAGCTTGACAAGGATGTGTAATATTCTTGTAAACCCCACACTCTTTCTTCTAATTATGTTGAGAGTATTGCTTTTAGTTGAAGTTTATACTTAACCTGATTAATGATGTTATGTAAATTATGTTGTACTTTCGAGAATGCATATGTTACGTTGCTCAAGTTTTATTATATGAATGCAGTTAAATGTGTATATGTTGTGGCATTAGTTGTTTCTGGGCGGCTGTTTAAGCAAAGACTATTAGGTTCACTTGAAACATTCAAAACTTATATGGAATAATTTAGGTGGCCGGTCATTGGAGTGCGTGTGTGTGCGTGGGTGTGGTATGTGTGGGTGTGTGTGTGTGGGTGTGTCTTTTATTTATTTATTTATTTATATTGCACTTTTGAGAAGTATTCATGCTACAGAAAATAGACATTTACTGGAAGATCTAAGAACTTTAGTGCATGATATCTTATTATCTATCTGTGGTGGTAAAGGAATTGGGCATTTTGGTTGAGTTTTGTTAAGCCGCCTCAAGATAGATCCATGCCTTTAGTAATACGGCTCTTATTTCATGTTGATCACCTGGCAGAAGTTTTGGTGGTTTTGGCTTCTTTTTTTACTTGTGTTTAACTTTAACCGCACCATTGATTAGGTTTAGCTGGAAGATTTATATTTTGTTCTCTCTTTTTGTCATTTCTTTCTTTTTCTTTTTCATGTTCATATCACCACCTTTAGGTTTATCCCAATTATGAATCCTCATATTTCATTCATTCCTGTGTTATTTGAGATATTAAATCTATTTCACGGAAGTAATTTTTTTTATAATTTCTATCTCTATAACATTTGACCTGTCCATTTTCATTTATAAATTTTCTACATAGTTTATATTTCCATTTAATTGGTGCATTTCTTTTCTTTGGTTGTGCATCCTCAATCTAGTTATATTTTTCACCAGTTATTTTTAGTCAATAGGTGGTGTTTCTAAATCTCTTTTATATAAGCATTTCATTATTTATGGTTTCTTACACACCCATATTGACATTCTTATTTACTTTACACTATTGGCGACAATTGTATTTTTATTGCTCTTCTTCTAAAAAATTATTTACCTTTCAATCATTTTTTTAGAGAATTTCATATTACAATTACATCATCTAGAAATAGCATATATCATCATAGCTTACTTTGAATATTCTTTATTTGATGTTTTAAAAGAAATCTATTGTTTTTTTATTATTTTTATTGCTTTTATTGTACCATGACAAAATTTTAAAAGGTGTAATCAGGAATTGAATGTGCTGTCGTAGTGAGGCGAGGCTTAGGCCTCAAGAAAGAAGAAAAACTCATAAAATTATAAATAAGTTATAAATATGACAAATCATTTATATTTTGATTTAATTTATTATCATAAAAACAAATCACATATCTTAATCTTAAATAATGATATAAAATAGAAGTTTGAAATGTGGTGGTAAACATTTACTTAAAATTCAAATATTTCGTAGGGTTCAAAATCCATGGTAGCCTTATCTATGATTTCATTTTTTTCAAAATGATCATCATATTTATTATCATCTAATTCTATCTCATTTACAACTTTAAAATATTTTTCATTCACTACAATTTTCTTCTTAATACCAATTATTCTAAAATCTAATATAATTTAGAATAAAAGAAAAGACTAATAACATAATCAAGTAATCATACTAAAATTATTTTTTTACTTTTTTAGGTATTGTATGAAATATACGTAATGTAATATAATATATATTAATTATATAATCTAATTTTTTTTTTTCATAACTTGGTCGAGGCACTGCTTCAATCAACTTGAGGCAAAAAGTTTTGAGGCGTACTCAATGAATAAAAGTGTAAGCCTCACTGGTGATATTTAGGTTTAAGCTTTGAGACTTAGTTTGTGCGCCTCAGTTTGAGTCGCATCTCGAGGCGTAAGCCTCAAAAACATTTTTAAACAATGGTATCATCCTACATATCTTTGATAATATTAACATACCTTCAAGTTGTTTCTTAATGCTTGCTAAATCAATTTTCATAATATTTAACCATGTGCCTTCTTTGATTAATGAAGTTCATATGATGATCCTTTCTATGCTTTGAGATACTTTTTTATTAGTTGCTTTAACTAAAAACAATCATCTTCATATCGGATCCTTTAATCATAAAGTCATTATTCGTACTAAATGATTTTTTAAAGCCTATATGCTCTTCCACAACATTGTTATATAATGTCCCATAAGTTTGATTGCCCTTTAATTACTATTATTTTGAATTCTTGTTATATCCAGGTTTGCTAATCATTTAGCATCCTTCTCTGAATTTATTAAAAAGATTTTTCAAACGAACTGTTCCAATATCTCCCACGGCTCTCCAAATTTTAAGTGATATCACATCGAGACCTAATAGCTTTACCTATTTGCATTTTCTCCAACACCAACCCAATTTATGATTAAATTTATTATAATTGTCTAAAGAGGTGTCTTCTATTTTTTTTGTTCGATGCATTTAAAACGTGCATTTTGGCCACAAGTTCTTTGGCTGGATGCAATTCAAATATAGCGGAACATTCTGTTGTTATTATACATTTTCGGATATAATGAATAGAATTCATCTCTTTCTCCCTTCTTTGCAATGAAAAGTTTGAGGGTGTCCGTGTTCAGGGTGGAGCCAGGTTCATAGATCTGCTCATCCAACACATTTGAACACTGGAGACTCAAAGGAAATGTCCCTCAGTGAAAGCATCAATATCCAATCAACCACTTTGTCATTGTTATCTTCCACTTCATTTTCTATCAGATCTAGCAACCCAAGATGCCTAGAAACTGAAAACCCAAACTAAAATCTGTTAAAGTCCTAGCTTTTGAAAAAAAAAAAAAAACTTTGTTTTTGAAATGGGTACTTGCATTTTACTTGATGTCCAACGGTGGTAATGACATCATAGTGAAGAGGGAGTGATGATCCAGGACTGGGAAGAAGCGTGAGCCAACAGATCCACTTGCCAAGTATAAGAAGTGACCATGGCGGCAACCCATAGGGGGAACCACACACCCAAACCCAATGAATGAGATTACAATTTGGCAAAAGGAGGCTTACCCTTAAAAAATCTATCAATGGTGCAGGCTGGGTTAATGACCCAATAGTTGCAAATAAAGAGCTCAAACCATTTCTAAGTATTAAATCGTTACCAGAACTTTAAGACAAATGATAAGTCCTTGTGGTCAGGATGTTAGGTGAGAAATCATAGCATGTTCTCAAGGACTTGGTTCGAGAAGAGTGGTGGCTTGGGGTTACGGATGATGCAGTGGCTAGATTAATGGCAAAGAGCTTTATGTTGCAAGTTATAATATATTTGAAATCGATTAAAATTTGGGCAAATTTGGAATTAACCAAATAAGAGGCTTTGGGGATTCTAAATTACTTTAAAAAATGATTTGCATCAATTGTACTTTATACAAACACGAGAACATTCGAACTCATAATACTTTGAACCAAATAACTTCAAGGAACTTCTCAAAATAGTTTTTCATCCTTTTTAAATTTCGTTTTCTTTAGATAAGTCCATATTTTGTTTGCTTCTAATATATCAATTTTCTCTTCTATTTCTAGCCTTAATGAAAAAAGAAAAGAGAAAAAGGATTGGTTTCTGCAATTGAGTATATACTGATGAAGAGATGTTCTGACGAATGTCAGGAGTAAGGACCTGCAATAATTTGGAGAATTTCTTGAAACAAATTGATGCGGTATTTCCACTTCTTTATTGTGGAGTTCTTAGCATGTGTGATCAAGAAGAATGGTATTGTATATCTAGGATTTTGATTTTTGCTTGTTATAGTGCTATCATGTAATCATAATATGATAATGTTGCCAATCAAAGGTTCCAAATTTGGAACTGATATGTCTAATATTGTGATGTATTATAACGTAGTTCTTATCTGCCAAAATACTAGATTTCATACCGTCTGATCTGCCAAACGCTTCATTATAATAATAATAATTACAATTATTATTTTCTCCCTTCTGTAGTGGATCGCAAAGACCAGAAGACCCTGGAAAGGCTTCGTGCTGAACGAAAAGCAAAACTTGATGAGCTCAAGGAAAAGACAAACTATTACACTACGCAGCAACTTATACAGGTAGATAGTCCAGAGTTCCTATATCTCTCCACATATGATACCTTTTTTTTTTCTGATTTTCCATGATCAAATATTTTAGCAGTAACAACAAGAAGCCTCTTTCTCACTAAGCAGGGTCGGCTACATGAATCCGTTCTCTCCATTGTGTCCTATTGAGTGTCATATTTTCATTTAATTTTAATAAATTAAGGTCATTTTTTATGCAACATGCCCAAGTCTTTTTAGGTCTACCTCTACTTTCTTAATACAAAATATCTACTCTCCTAATCGGGCATCAGATGATCGATGTTTAATGTGACTAAACTATCTAAGCGGACGCTATCTAATCTTGTCTGCCATAGGAGTTACTCCAACCCTTTCATGGATATCTTCATTTTTGCATTTTATCTCTAAATGTAAGCCACTCATCCACCTGATCATTCTCATCAACAGCACTTAACTTAATTTTATGCTTCTCTTTTACAGGCCAACATTCTACCGCCATAAAGCATTGTAGATTCATCACCATCTTTTAAAATTTTCTTTCTACTTTAAGTGATACTTTTCTATCACACAATAGTCCCGATGTATTTCTCCACTTCAACCATCCAACTTAAATTCTACTTATAACATCCCCATCTATATCACCATCAATTTGAACAATAAACTCAGAAAAATCTAAAATGTTCAGTACTTTTAATGACTTGATCACTTATTGTTACAACCCCATCACTAGATCCTCTACTACTAAAATTACATTCCATGTATTCATACACTCAAATATTTTAGCAAGCTGATAAATTTTATTTTTTCTCTTAATTCCTAATGAATTGGTTCCTATTATCCTATTAACTCGAGCATTCTGAATTTCAGAGGTATGACCTTGATCAGGCTGCAAAGATTGCCGCGGCAAGTGTTCTGGCATCTAGGCTTGGAACAGAGTCTGGTCTGAACTTCCACATTGGAGATGAACCCGCCAAAACCACAGAAACCATCAAAAGCAGTGGTATTGTGCGGGCGCAATCTGGCCCTGACTTGCAAAGGAAACAGCCTTCAGCAAGCAAGGGCACAACTCAGCTCCCTGAAATCCCCAAAGAAGTTGGATCCAGCCCCCAGGGCCATGTCGCTGCTGCTCATGATCAGGTGGTTGTTGAACACTTTAGAGGCTCGAGCGGCACTGATGGAGGGTGGGTAGCTCGCATAGCTGCACTGCTTGTCGGGGAGGATCCATCGCAGTGCTATGCTCTCATATGCGGCAACTGTCATAAACATAATGGTAAGTTATTTTATTTCCAGCACTAATTTATTCATGCTGATGAATAGATTATCTGCATGAACTACACTATCTATCCATTTAAATGCGGTGTAATTTAATGATTAATGGATATAAAAAACGATCAATTTTGATTTCTCTATGTTGTATATAATTAAAGTTAGGGGCATTTACATACACGCCACTCAATTTCTATGTAATTACAAATCTAACACCAAAACATTATCTTTTACATTTATACCACCCAAATCTTTCATATTTTATGACAAATGCCACTGTTTTAACTTTTAAAAAGTGACACATTTTCATGCAGAGTATTGTGGTTTGTCTTTAAAAAAATTGCAATTATAGGTGTTGGATATGTAAATACATAAGAATTGAGTGGTATGCATGTAAATCTTCCTGTAAGTTAATACCTCAGGAAAGATACATAGCGTCACTTTTTGAAGATCTGAACCATTTTTCCAGGAAATGTGGATGTTTTAGTGCCTTGATGCAGAAACAAATATTTCTGGTTTGCTTCTTTTATTTATTTGAGGTTTTGGGGCACAATCTGCAGGACTGTCCAGGAAGGAGGATTTTCCGCACATAACTTACTATTGTCCTCACTGCCATGCTCTGAACACATCGATGAAAATAGACAATCAGAATTTGCCATTAACTGGCAGCAATACAGGCTCTGTAACCAGTGCTGAAACCAAGAACAGCCTGCCTGAAAAAATTCATGAACTGCCTGAATCTGCCGCAGATCAAGTAAAATGTATTGGAAATTCCTGAAGCTTTGGAGTGTGATGATTGATACAGTTTGAAAGAAGAAGGATATTGTTGTTGTTATCTATGTCTGGGTATTTTAAGATATACTCTACTTTAGATTTGATAATTGCTGTAACATGGGGAAAGAAGGAGATTCAACACAGCGGTCTTGAAGGTTTCAACTTCTGCAGTTGCCTCCTTCAACGAGATGTGATTAGTTTTTTGTTTGCGTGAGTGATGATCGAACAAACTTTTCGGATCTGATATATTTAACCGTGATTAGTTTTTTGTTTGCGTGAGTGATGATCGAACTTCTGTCACAAACTTTTCGGATCTGATATATTTAACCGGCAGTTGTTAAAAATATTTTGTAACATTTTTGTTTTATAACTTCATTATTGTTTTATGATAAATAGAAAGTGATATTATATGCTAAGGTTGTGGTAGCTGAAGGGATCGTTTGACCTGACATTGAAGCGCTCGAAATTGAAATACGTGTTTGCATGAAAGAATTTTGGAAGATTTACGTACATTATTTCTTAATTCTCATGTATTTACACACCTAAAGTTCTATTTTTTTTATATATATGTCACTTATGTATGCGTTACAAGGTGAAAAATGGTGTTTTTAGCTTGATATGAAAGATTTGGGTGGTATGAATGTACAATGTAAAGTTTAGGTGTTAGATATGTAAATACATAGGAATTGGGTGGTATGTATGTAAATGCATGCATGTCATGCAATTTGTATGTTTTTATATGTCTAACATCTAAAATTTGATATTTATATTTAATATATTTAGTGACATTATTTCAATCATTAAAAATGTATATTTCATTTTAAAAAAGCTTACAATGTGGCATTTTTATGCTATGTTAAGGTTTGAGTGTTATGCATTGTAAGTATCAAAGGTAGATGAAAGATTTGTGCGATATGTATATAAAAGGCCCAATTTATAATGACCCTAAACATTTGAAAAGTTCTAGGCAAAAAATTACCAATAAACAAATTTCTAGTGAATAATTTTTGAAGGCCTCACTAACTCGAAAATAGGGATATAAACAAGCCGAACACGAGCGAGCTCAGGATCAGCTCGTGTTTGGCTTGTTAAAAAATATTATTGTTCGTGTTTGGCTCTTTTATATTACAAACACAAAAAGATGTTCGCATTCGGTTCGTTTGCTTAGCAAGTTGAACAAAAGCTGTTTGCGAATAAAGAGTCGTTTTGACGACCTTAATCACACAGTCGATGTTAAGAGTTGGGGTAAGATTTAAATCTTAATGTTATGGTGTTATCTTCTATAATTTCATATATATTTATTCTATTTTTTAATTAATAATTTTAATTCCTTGTATTCAATTAATTTTTTTAAAATACATTCATACATACATACATATATG